GGGGTGGTTGAGGGTTGGGGTGGTTGGGATGGTGGTTTTGGGTGTTTGAGGGTTGGGGTGGTTGGGATGGTGGTTTGGGGTGTTTGAGGGTTGGGGTGTGGTTCTTGGCTGCTGGCTGGGGTAAAACCACGACACAAGAAGAGATGTCTGGACATGTTATCACAGGAAATTCTAACAGAGGGATCACTTTTAGCACCAGACTTTTTTCCTATGAAAGTGAACTTCCCTCTGGAAGTGTTCATGAGCAAACAAGGAACCAAACAAGATCTCACACTCTGTGGTCACAACCATAAACCAACTGCAGTGGTGTACATGACCCATCCAGACACTTCAAATACAATCAGGCAATGACTGTTGCTAGTGAAAGACACACAGGGGTTGGGTTTTGTTTGTTTAATGACACATTAGAGTTACAGAGTTTCTAGCAGTTAAGTATGGAGACATGTCAGTGGGATCAGATGTGGTCACAGCACTGCGTGGGACCCCTTGGACAGTGCCTTCAGGTCCAGAATGCACTTGGCAATGCTTTCCTTTTGCTGCAAGAGAAGGAAACAGATTTCAGAACACATTTCAATAAGAAAAATGTACATTTAGTGCATTTTAGACCCCTGAGTGACAGATTGAAAGGGATGTAATCATAGCTCATGAACTCAAGACTCACATCCAAACAAGGAGCTGCACTAAAGCATTGAATCATGGAACCCCAGACTGGTTTGGGTTGGAAAAGACCTTAAAGTTCATCTCATTCCACTTCTGCCATGGGCAGGGACATCTTCCACCAGCCCAGATTGCTCCAAGCCCTGTCCAACCTGACCTGGAACACTCCCAGGAATGGAGCAGCCACAGCTTCTCTGGGCAAGAAAAGCATCTGCCTGCAGTGTTGGGAACATGTTTGCTTGGATTGTTCTGTTTAACTCCTTTCAAGCAAGGCCATCCAGAACCATCTGCAGGTCTTAAGCTGCTGTGGTCTTACACAGAGAATTTTACAGGTGAGCTCCTTGCCCTGGTAGCTACATCTCAGCACAGTTTAGTTCTGTGCTGCAGCAAATGCTACACACAATTCTAGCTCAAATCACCAGCAACACAAGCACTTGGTACCAGGAACTGGGTTGCTCCTCC